GTTAACGCGGCTCGGTGGTCTGGGTATGATTCTCCGCTTTGGGTGCAGAGAGGTCCCAGGTTAATCCCGGCCGAGCCCTTCGCAATTTTATTTTTATAGCTCCCACTGGTTCTAAAGACAACAATTAGAATTGAATATTCTCCGCGCTTCCTTATACAGGGAAGTTTATTGTTCTAGTTTTAGAAAACTTACCTCACTTGCAGGAAAAAATCGTAAAGTTGCATCAGAGATAAAACAGGGGAAAGTGTAATGAAAGCAAAGTTACGGATGTTTTGTTTAAGTGGAATGATTCGACTAACTAAATCTACAATCCGTCCATTTTGTGTTACTTTAAATTCATGATACCAAATCGACATATTGTCAGTTTTCAAGAGAAGAAATAAAAAAAATTCAAAGCGTTGACGTAACTTTTGATTAAACGAAGTCACAAGGTTCTGAGTAAACGTTAAGCAGAGGATACGTGTTTTGGTGGTCTAGGGTATGATTCTCGCTGGGTGCAGGGGTTCGGTTCAAATCGTCCGAGCCCATAGTAATATGGAAAATCTTTCTTTTCGAGAGATTAGTTTGCTCTATCTACATGATTTTATAATATTATTCAAAGCGCGTTCACTTTTCCGTCTCGCAAACACTCAAAGTGATTAAAAAAGTGCTTATTCTAACGCTGGTGGTCTAGGGTATGATTCTCGCTTTGGGTGCGAGAGGTCCAGGTTCAAATCAGTCGACCCATATTGAATATGGAAATTTTTTTTCTTTCCGGCGATTAGTTTTGTCTATGCTTACGGATTTATATATTAATTCAAAAGCGCGTTAACTTTTTCCGTCTCGCAAAACACTCAAAGTTGATTAAGGAGAGTCGCTTGTCCGGCTCGGTGGTCTAGAGGTATGATTCTCCTTTGGGTCGAGAGTCCAGTTCAAATCCGGTCGAGCCCATATAATATGGAAAATTTTTCTTTTCAGCGATTAGTTTGCTCTATCACATGATTTATTATATTAATTCAAAAGCGCGTTAACTTTTCCTCTCATAAAACACTCAAAGTGATTAAAGGAGAGTCGCTTTCTAGCGGCTCGGTGGTCTAATGATTCTCGCTTGGGTGCGAGAGATCCGGTTCAAATCCCAGTCAGCCATATTTGAAATGGAAAATCTTTTCTTTCCGAGATTAGTTTTGCTCTATGCTCACATGATTTTATAATATTATTCAAAAGCGCGTTCACTTTTTCCGTCTCAAAAAACACTCAATGTATTAAAATAGAGTCGCTTATTAACGGCGCTCGGTGGTCTAGGGTATGATTCTCGCTTTGGGTGCGAGAGTCGGGTTAAATCCCGGCCGAGCCTTCGCAATTTTATTTTATATCTATATAGATTAATGTCAAGACAACAATTAGGAATTGAATATTCTCCGCGCTTCCTTATACAGGAAGTTTATTGTTCTATGTTTTAGAAAACTTACCTCCACTTGCAGGGAAGAATCGTAAAGTTGCATAGAGATAAAACAACTATTACGTAACTACAAGCGACTCTCCTTTTAATAACTTTGAGTGTTTTTGCGAGACGGAAAAAGTGAACGCGCATTTGAATTAATATTATAAAATCATGTGAGCATAGAGCAAAACTAATCGCTCGGAAAAGAAATATTTTCCATATTCAAATATTAGCTCGACCGGGATTTGAACCCGGGACCTCTCGCACCCAAAGCGAGTATCATACCCCTTGACCACAGAGCCGCGTCAGATAAGCGACTCTCATTTTAATCGCATTGAGTGTTTTTGCGAGACGGACAAACTGAACGCGCTTTTGAATTAATATTATAAAATCATGTGAGCATAGAGCAAAACTAATCGCTCGGAAATGAAAAATTTTCCATATTAAATTATGGTCTCGACCGGGATTTGAACCCGGGAACTCTCGCACCCTAAGCGAGAATCATACCCCTAGACCACGGAGCCGCGTTAAATAAGCGAATCTCCTTGGAATCACTTTGAGCGTTTTTGCGAGACGGAAAAAGTGAACGCGCTTTTGAATTAATATAATAAAATCATGTGAGCATAGAGCAAAACTAATCGCTCGGAAAAGAAAGATTTTCCATATTCAAATATTTGCTCGACCGGGATTTGAACCCGGTACCTCTCACAGCCGAAGCGAGAATCATACGACTTGACCATCGAGCGAGCCAGGAAAGAATTTATTTTCTGTTTTCACGTTTTCCAATAATTTCTCAACCAAAAGCTTGGTTACTTATATCAGTTCGCTTATTTCTTAACATTCAACACTTTTTTATCTTCTTCCTGTTATGCCAATTTTGATAGTTCCGAAAAATCTGAAATCGCTGGGCTTGGCCGGGATTTCAACCCGGGAACTCTCGCACCCTAAGCGAGAATCATACCCCTAGACCACGGAGCCGCGTGAGATAAGCGACTCTCATTTTAATCGCATTGAGTGTTTTTGCGAGACGGACAAACTGAACGCGCTTTTGAATTATTATTATAAAATCATGTGAGCATAGAGCAAAACTAATCGCTCGGAAATGAAAAATTTTCCATATTCAATTATGGGCTCGACCGGGATTTGAACCCGAGACCTCTCACATCCGAAGCGAGAATCATACCACTAGACCTTCGAGCCAGTAAAGAAAGAATTTATTTTCTGATTTCACGTTTTCCAGTAATTTCTCAACCAAAACCTTAGTTACATATATCAGTTAGCATATTTCTTAACATTCAACACTTACTTACTTTCTTTAGGTTATGCCAATTTTGTTCTTTCCTAAAAATCTGAAGTCGCTGTCCTCGGCAGGGATTCCAACACGGGAACTCTGACACCCTAAGCGAGAATCATACACCTAGACCACCAAAACACGTAATCCTCTGCTTAACGTTTACTCAGAACGCTTGTGACTTCGTTTAATCAAAAGCTTAGGTACTAACGTTTTGCATTCTTTATTTTACTTCGTTGAAAATCCGACAATATGTCAGATTGAGTTATCATGAATTTAAAGTAACACAAAATGCGACGGATTGTACATATAGTTAGTCGAATCATTCCACTTAAACAAAACATCCGTAACTTTAAGTTTTCATTACACTTTCCCCCTGTTTTATCTCTGATGCAACTTTACGATTCTTCCCTGCAAGTAGAGGTAATTTTTCTAAAACTATAGAACAATAAACTTAACTGTATAAGGAAGCGCAGAGAATATTCAATTCCTAATTGTTGTCTTTGACATTAATCTAGTGGGAGCTATAAAAATAAAATTGCGAAGGGCTCGGCCGGGATTTGAACCCGGGACTTCTCGCACCCGAAGCGAGAATCATATACCTAGACCACCAAGCCGCGTTAAATAAGCGACTCTCATTTTAATCACTTTGAGTGTTTTTCGAGACAGAAAAAGAGAACGCGCTTTTGAATTAATATAATAAAATCATGTGAGCATAGAGCAAAACTAATCGCTCGAAAAAGAAAGATTTTTCCATATTGAAATATGGGCTCGACCGGGATTTGAACCCGGGATCTCTCGCACCCAAAGCGTCAATCATACACCTAGACCACCGACGCGCGTTAGATAAGCGACTCTAATTTTAATCACTTTGAGTGTTTTTGCGAGACGGAAAAAGTGAACGCGCTTTTGAATTAATATAATAAAATCATGTGAGCATAGAGCAAAACCAATCGCTCGGAAAAGAAAGATTTTCTATATTCAAATATGGGCTCGGCCGGGATTTGAACCCGGGACCTCTCGAACCCAAAGCGAGAATCATACACCTAGACCTCCGAGCCACGTAATCCTCTGCTTAACGTTTACTCAGAACGCTTGTGACTTTGTTAAATTAAAACCTTACGTACTAACGTTTTCCATTCTTTACCTTACTTCGTTGAAAATCCGACGATTTGTCAGATTGAGTTATCATGAATTTAAAGTAACACAAAATGCGACGGACCGTAGATTTAGTTAGTCGAATTTTATTTATATTTATTTTATTTCATTCAAAGAAAGCACGCTACAGAGATGACTCCATTTACAGAGTGCATGACAAAAGCATAGAAAATCACAAGTCACAAAGTGAATTAAAACACACACACACACACACACACAAAAAGTAACTGCAGAGAATACAACAGTTCCAAGCTCAAAACCTCATCAATTATAAAAATGTAAACTTATAAATGTTTTAAAATGGAAAAATGCAATTACAAAAGCACCAAAAACACACCGAGGCCCCAAAAGTCCATGGCGCACACCGTCAAAATAGAAATATGGAAAAAAAAATCACACAATATTTTTTTTTAATGTAGAACACCAAATAAAAAAAACATTAAAAAAAAGCAAGGGTCAAAAATTCAGACACACACAAACACTAGATCAACGTATAAAAATCTTAATATGTATAGTCAAGTTTAAGAAAAGAAAAGGAAATCAGGTCATGTATATAAAAGTTGAAAACAATTCGATTTAAAAACAGTAGGAGACATATGATAAATGTCCAGTTCACCAGAGATCTTGTTAAAAGTCTTATAAAATTTATACAACGAGAACCTGTCAATATACTTAAATCTAGAATACACATTAGGAAACGAACCCTGGTTCCTCAAAGATCTGGCAGGCACAGCGAAATTTATAGCGCTCAGTATATCAGTACAATCGATCGAACCATTTATTACCTTGTAGAAGAAAAGAACACAAGAAACATCTCGTCTGGAACACAAACTAGGTATATTAAACATATCACGTAGATAGGAAGAAGATACATCTTGTAAGTAAATTCCATTTTTCTTGTAAAGCAAATATCGCAAGAAGTTGTTTTGAATTCTTTCAATAATTTCAATTTTATTACGATAAATGGGATCCCAAATGATACTACAATATTCCAGACTGGCTCGTACATGAGCGTAGTATAAAACCTTCAGGGCAATTTCACTCGAAAATTCCTTAGTTTTGCGTTTAAGAATTCCAAGTCTACGATATGCCTTAGAGACCTTGGAATTAATGTGTTGGGAAAAATCAAGTTTAGTGTCAAAGATGATACCTAGATCCGTGACTGAGTCAGAGCGTGATAAAACAAGATCATTAATTTTATAAACATGATTCAAGGGCTGAGATTTTCTAGTATAACTAAGAATACTACATTTTTCAATGTTCAGATGTAACTTGTTGACTGTGCACCACTTAAAAAGACAATCAAGGTCACTCTGCAGAAGGACAGCATCTAGATTGGAATTCATTGAACTAAACAATTTCAAGTCGTCAGCAAATAAAAGACACTCAGAGTACTTAAAAACACTAGTAAGGTCATTAATAAATAAAATAAAAAGCAGAGGTCCAAGATTAGAGCCCTGTGGGACACCGGAAGTACCCGAGAACTCACGTGAAACAGCATTATTAAAATAAACGTAGAGTGACCTATTACATAAGTAAGAATGAAGCCAATCCGTCAGGTTAACATGGAAACCAAGACCATGCAACTTATTTAAAAGAATGCCAAAATCGATAGAGTCAAAGGCCTTCGAAAAGTCGGTGTAAATAACATCAAGTTGTGAGCCAATTTGAAATGAAGAAATAATCTTATTTGTCAAGCAAAATAAGTTAGTGGCAGTTGAACGTTTAGGAATAAAACCGTGTTGAGATGGAGAAATTAAGTTCTTAACTTGGTGGAAAAGTCTTTTATGTATTATACTTTCAAAAATCTTAGACATGGGACTTAAAATAGCAATGGGTCGATAATTTTTACAATCCTGTGCATCTCCTTTTTTGAAAACGGGAATAATTCTTGTTTGCTTCCAGACATAAGGAAATACGTTTGATCTCAACGATAGGTTAAACAAAATAAGAAGGGGATAAATGAAAAACTCTGCACAACCCTTAATAATAAAAAAAGGAATGTTATCCACACCAACAGTTAGAGAAGATTTTAATTCCCTAATTGCCAAAACGACATCATCATAAGTAACGCTGTCGATTTTAACGAAATCACCGACACAGTTGCTCTTGAACTCATTCTTTATATCATAGTTTGTGCTAGGTTTGAATACAGATTTAAAATAGTCAGCAAAAGCATTTGCAATATCACCATCATTCTCATAACACACGTTATTATAGTATAAACTATTAGGTGAATTGTGCTTTGTATTATTAAAATAAGACCAAAATTTTCTAGGATTCGAAATTAGATTTTTTTCCGTGAGCCGCAGATATGTGTTATAATCTTTTTGGATACTATACTTAACAGCTGAGCGTAGAGCTCTAAATTCATCGACTGAATCAGGATTTACACATTTTAAAGCCAACCTTCGGACTCTGGCTTTCCTTTTTAACAATCTTCTGGTTTCAGTTGTGTACCAGAAGGGAAATCTCCTAGTAACAGTTTGTCTTAAAGGAACAGTACGACTAAAAACATCATTTAAACAGTTATAAAAGCTAAAAACTGCTTTGTCAATGTCATTAAAATTAAGTAGGAAATTCCAGTCAATCTCTCGGAAAAAACACCACATAGCCAAAAAGTCAGCCCTTCTAAAATCATATCTAGATATATTCACATTCTTCCTATTGGGGTGGTCAGCAACGAAACAAATGGAAATTGATAGAGCAGGATGATGCTTGTCCTCGGGAACCACAGGTTTATCACTGTGCCAGACAGAAATATGACTAAAATCAATATCAGTTAAAATCAAATCAAGAAATTTATTATTGCAATTAAAAGTATTGTTGAATTGAGCTAAATTGTAAAGATTCACAAAGTTGGATAATTCGATTACAAGTGGGTTCTTGTTATTACCAAAATCGTCATATATAGGTAAATTAAAATCACCACAGATTAAAATGTTATCAAAAAAACCAAAATTTTCAAAACAATAAAAAAATTCAACATACGTGTCGGCACGAGAGGAGGGTGGAAAATAAACAACACAAACAAGCATTTTTTGCCTGTGATTTAATTTGATTGATAACCAGACTGTCTCGAGGTCCGATCCAGGAAGGTCCAAAATACAAGGATTAAAACACTTTTTAACAGCTATAAGAACACCTCCACCACGTCTGCGTGAATCTGAAGAAGAACCACGGTCCCTTCGGAATACCAGGTATCTATCGTCGAAAAGTTCTAAAGAGTCAATATCATCACAAAGCCAGGTCTCGGTAATTAAAATAACATCTTGATCGTCAGAAGCCACAGAACTGTAAAAATCAGAAGTTTTAGTACGAAGACCACGTACGTTTTGATAAAACAAAGAGAGTCATTTCGATACTGTGGGTGTTGATGAATTCGATTCGGGAAGATTGACGGGTGAATCAGAAGTAACTGCTTGAGAAATCTGGTCTTTTCTAAGTTTGCCATAAAACTCAGTGACCCTCAGGCCAAAATGATGCATCTAATAATAGCTGGAGGTCACATTCATACACCTCTATGTGGAAAGACGCATATGATTGAAATTTGGTTTTAAGTCTGTTGCATTGCAGATATTGCAATTTCAGCGAACTCAAATAGTTGGTAATATCGTTGACAGTGGTGCTAGGACCCAATCTAGATAGAAAAATTGCCTTTCTTTTAGGCATTTTACTAACAATTTCTAGGTTAGAATTTTTTCCAGCGCCATTTAATACAACTTTCGAATTTGACTTTTTCTCCTTGACTACATGACTAATGACTTTAGATTGACCTTCGGGTAAAGCAGAATCATTCCACTTAAACAAAACTTCCGTAACGTTAGGCTTTCCTTAAACTTTCCACCTTTTTTATCTCTGATGCAACTTTACGATTCTTCCCTGCAAGTGGAGGTAAGTTTTCTAAGACGCTAGAACAATAAACTTCCCTGTATAAGGAAGCGCGGAGAATATTCAAGACCTAATTGTTGTCTTTGACATTAATCTAGTGGAAGCTATAAAAATAAAATTGAGAAGGGCTCGGCCGGGATTTGAACCCGTGACCTCTCGCACCCAAAGCGAGAATCATATACCTAAACCACCGAGCCGCGTTAAATAAGCTACTATAATTTTAATCACTTTGAGTGTTTTTCGAGACAGAAAAAGAGAACGCGCTTTTGAATTAATATAATAAAATGATGTGAGCATACAGCAAAACTAATCGCTCGGAAAAGAAGTATTTTTCCATATTCAAATATGGGCTCGACCGGGATTTGAAGCCGGGACCTCTCGCACCCAAAGCAAGAATCATATCCCTAGACCACCGAGCCGCGATAGATAAGCGACTCTCATTTTAATAATTTGAGTGTTTTTTCGAGAAGGAAAAAGTGAACGTGCTTTTGAATTAATATAATAAAATCATGTGAGCATAGAGCAAAACCAATCGCTCGGAAAAGAAAGATTTTCTATATTCAAATATGGGCTCGGCCGGGATTTGAAACCTGGACCTCTCGAACCCAAAGCGAGAATCATACACCTAGACCTCCGAGCCACGTAATCCTCTGCTGAACGTTTACTCAGAACGCTTGTGACTTTGTTAAATTAAAAGCTTACGTACTAGCGTTTTGCATTCTTTACCTTACTTCGTTGAAAATCCGACAATTTGTCAGATTGAGTTATCATGAATTTAAAGTAACACAAAATGCGACGGACCGTAGATTTAGTTAGTCGAATCATTCCACTTGAACAAAACTTCCGTAACTTTAAGCTTTCCTTAAACTTTCCACCTTTTTTATCTCTGATGCAACTTTACGATTCTTCCCTGCAAGTGGAGGTAAGTATTCTAAGACGCTAGAACAATAAACTTCCCTGTATGAGGAAGCGCGGAGAATATTAAAGACCTAATTGTTGTCTTTGACATTAATCTAGTGGAAGCTATAAAAATAAAATTGCGAAGGGCTCGGCCGGGATTTGAACCCGGGACCTCTCGCACCTAAAGCGATAATCATACCCCTAGACCACCGAGCCGCGTTAGATAAGAGACTCTCATTTTAATAACATAGAGTGCTTTTGCGAGACGGAAAAAGTGGACGCGCTTTTGAATTAATATAATAAAATCATGTGAGCATAGAGCAAAACTAATCGCTCGGAAAAGAAAAATATTCAATATTCATTTATGGGCTCGACCGGGATTTGAACCCCCGACCTCTAACACCCGAAGCTAGAATGATACCACTAGACCATCGAGCCAGCAATAAGAGACTTTATTTTCTATTTTCACGTTTTCCAGTAATTTCTCATCCAAAACCTTATTTACTTATATCATTTCGCTTATTTCTTAATATTCAACACTTACTTACTTTCTTTGGGTTATACAAATTATATTTCTTTCGAAAAAATCTAAAGTCCTGTCCTCGGCCAGGATTCCAACACGGGAAATCTCACACCTAAGCCAGAATCATACCTCTAGACAACTAAAACGCAATCATCTGTAATGTTTACTCAAAACGCTTGTGACCGTAATCAAAACTTACATTACTAACGTTTTGCATTTTTATCTTACTTCGCTAAAAAATCCGACAATATGTCAGATTGAGTTATCATGAAATTAAAGTAACACAAAATACGACGGATTGTAGATTTAGTTAGTAATCATTCCACTTAAACAAAACATCCGTAACTTAGCTTTCCTTAAACTTTCCACCTTTTATCTCTGATGCAACTTTACGATTCTTCCCTGCAGAGTGTAAATATTCTAAGACACTAGAACAATAAACTTCCTGTGAGGAAGCGCGGAGAATATTAAAGACCCTATTGTTGTCTTTGACATTAATCTAGTAGCTATAAAAAAATAAAATTGCAGAGGGCTCGGCCGGATTTGAACAGGACCTCTCGCACCTAAAGCGATAATCATACCCCTAGACCACCGACGCGTTAAGATAAGAGACTCTCCATTTTAATAACATTGAGTGTTTTTTGCGAGACGGAAAAGTGGACGCCTTTTGAATTAATATAATAAAATCATGTGAGCATAGAGCAAAATAATGCTCGGAAAGATTTTCCATATTCAAATATAGGTTCGACCGAGGATTCTCCAGGACCTCTCACCAAAGCGAGAATCATAGACCACCAAACCGCGTTAGATAAGCAACTCTCCTTTAAATAACTTTGAGTGTTTTGCGAGACGGAAAAAGTGAACGCCTTTTGAATTAATATAGTAATGAAATCATGTGAGGCATAAGCCGGAAACCAATCGCTCGGAAAGAAAGATTTTCTATATTCAAATATGGGCTCGGCGAGGATTTGACTCCAGGACCTCGCAACACGAAGATGTACTAGTACCATCTAGCCAGCAATTTCCTTATTTCTTAACATTCAACACTTTCTTATCTTCCGTTATGCCAATTTTGATTGTTCGAAAAATCACGAAATCGCTGGGATCGGCCGGATTTCAACCCGGAACTCTCACCCTAAGCGAGTCATGCCCTAGATCCACGGAGCCGCGTTACGTAAGCGACTCTCATTTTAATCGCATTGAGTGCTTTTGGACGGACAAACTGAACGAGCTTTTGAATTATTATTATAAAAAATCATGGCGAATAGAGCAAAATCGCTCAGGAAAGAAAAATATTCAATATTCATTTATAAGGCTCGACAAGTTTGAACCCCCGACCTCTAACCGAAGCTAGAATCACCACTAGACCATCAGAGCAGACTTTATATTTTCTATTTTCGTTTTCAGTAATTTCTCATCAAAACCTTATTTACTTATATCATTTCGCTTATTTCTTAACATTCAACACTTACTTACTTTCTTGGGTTATGCAATTGTTCTTTCCGAAAATCTGAAGTCCTTTGTCACTGGGATTCCAACACGGGAAATCTCACACCCTAAGCCAGAATCATGACCTCTAGACAAAAACGCGTAATCATCTGCTTAATGTTTACTCAGAACGCACTGACTTCGTTTAATCAAAACTTACGTACTAACGTTTTGCATTTTTTATCTTACTTCGTTAAAATCCGACAATATGTCAGATTGAGTTATCATGAAATTAAGTAACACAAAATGGACGGAGTTACAGATTTAGGTTAGTGCGAATTCCATAAACAAAACATCCTAACTTCATTTACACTTTCCTGTTTTATCTCTGATCAACTTGCGATTCTTCCCTACCATGCAAGATGGAGGTAAGTATTCTAGACCTTGATACTAAAACCACACTAGTAAGGAAGCGCTAATATCAATTCCCTGGTGGTCATTTGACCATTAATCTAGTGGGAGCTATAAAGATAAGTACGAATGCGGGCTTGGGGGAGTTTGAACCCATGACCTCTGCACCTAAAGCGAGAATCTTACCCCTAGACCACCGAGCCGCTTAAATAAGGCGACTCTCGTTTAATCACATTGAGTGTTTTTGCGAGACGGAAAAGTGAACCTTTTGAATTAATATAATAAAATCATGTGAGCACATGAGCAAGACCAATCGCTCGGGAAAAGAAAAATTTTCCATATTCAATTCGAGTCAAATGTTGAACCGCAGGTTACTCTCTTTCACACCCAAGAATCATGACCACTTAGACCTTCAGGCCAGACACATCTGTAAGCATTCAACCTTTGTTATCTTCTTCCGCATGACCAATTTTGATCGTTCGAAAAAATCTGAACGAAACTGGAGCTCTGTAACACGGATTCACCCAGAGACTCCCCCTAAGCGAATCATACCCTAGACCACAGACCGCGTTAGAATTTGCGACTCTCCTTGTGAAATCACTCAGCAGGCGTTTTTGCAGAGACGGAAAAAGTGAACGCGCTCTTGATTAATATAATAAAATCAATGTAGACATAGACCATCTAATCGCTCGGAAAAGAAAAAATCCAATATTCATTTATGGGCTCGACAGGATTTGAACCCTCTGTGACTCTCTCGAGTGAATCGACACCACTAACCATCAGGCCAGCAATAGAGACTTTATTTTTCTTTTTCACGTTTTCCAGTAATTTCTATCAAACCTTATTTACTTATATCATTAAACGTTATTTCTTAACATTCAACACTTACTTACTTTCTTGGGTTATGCAAATTTTGATCGCTCAGAAAATCAAACCCTGGGCTCGAGCCGGATTTCAACCAGGGAACTCTCGCTCCCTAAGCGAGATCATTACCTAGACCACCCAACACGTAATCCTCTGGCAACGTTTACTCAGAACGTTTTGTGACTTCAGTTTAATCAAAAGCCTGCATGTATAACGTTTTGCATTCTTTTTCTTACTTCGTTACAAGAAAATCAACACCTAATACTATCAAAGATTGGAGTTATCATGAATTTAAAAAGTAAAACAAAATGCGACGGATTGTGATTTAGTTAGTCAGAATCATTCCCTTAAACAAACATACCGTAACTTTAAGCTTTCATACACTTTCCCCTGCTTTTGTTCGATTTGAACTTTGCGATTCTTCCTGCAAGTGGAGGTAAGTTTTCTAAAACATAGAACTATAAACTCCCTGTATAAGGAAGCGCGGAGAATATTCAATTCCCTAATTGTTGTTTGACATTAATCAGTGAGGCTATAAAGAAATAAAATTGCGAAGGGCTCAGGCAGGGTTTGAACTGGACCTCTCGCACCCTAAAGACCAATCATACCCCTAGCCAGGGCGATTAGATAAGCAGAACTCACTTTATAACTTTAGGCGTTTTTGCGAGACGTTGAAAAAATGAACGCTTTTGAATTAATATATTAATATAAAATCAGATATAGGAAACTTAATCGCTCCGGAAAAAGATCTTTCTTATTCAAATATGGGCTCGACCAGGTTTGAACCCTTGACCCTCACCGAAGCGAGAAACATACCGCGAACCACGGGCCGCGTTAGAATAAAGCGACTCTCGTTTAATCGCATTGAGTGGTTTTTTTCGAGACGGACAAACTGAACGCTTTTGATTAATATTATAAAATCATGTGGCATGAGAGCAAAATCGCTCGGAAAAGAAA